GGCTACTTGGAAGGCTGAGGCGGAAGGATTGCTGGAGCCCAGCAGGTCGAGGCTGCAGTGTCAGGGAGTGGCCGCTGCACTTCAGTCTGGGCGGCAGAGTGAGACTCTAACTCAAGAAAAAAAAACCAACAAAACATATTTTCATCTCCTACTGACAGCTCAAGCTCTAATTCCTTCTTGCGCAAAATCAAGAGCCCACCTGACCTCTCGGACCAAACCCCAATTCCAGGGCTCTCCTGTGTCAGTCCCTAAGGGGTTTGAAGACAGGGACAGCCCAGATTTCTAGCTAGCTCCCTCCATCTTCCTCTCCAGGGTACTGTGACTCTAAATCCCACAGGGAACCAACACCTTGTGACCCGCCTAGGTTCCCTTTCCCATCATCAAAGACAAACACAGGTGCAATTAGCAGCTTTTTTGATAAGGAGGAAAAACAAACAAACAAGAAGGAGGGCAGAGGGATGGAAGGAGAGAGGAAGAAAGAGAAGCAAATATCCCAGATTACAGAAGTGCTAAGGAAGCATAAACCCGAATTACAAGCTGTGTGCTCTCATCCCCTTCAGAATTCTTTTCCACAAAAGTATCGGCTGCTCATCCCAGAATAACCTGCTGTCCCTTCCGGGCCCTTCCATGGGGGCCTGCATCAGAGGCCAGGAGAAGACGCGCCTGGCCAGGCTGGCATTTCCAGAAGGCCAGCAGGAGGGAAGAAACCCGCAGGCACCCTGACCGCTGGCTGAGGCTGCCACCAGGAACAGGGTGTTTCCTTCCACACAGGATGTGCTTTCACAAGGAAACCCCAAGGTCCCGCTCTATCTCCAGCCGCCATCGGCTCTTCTCATCAGAACTGAAGGCCAGGAAGGAAAGCAACGTCAGAACTCCCAGCCAGGGAAGCCGAAACAAAGGAGGGCCCCAAGATGCGGACCCACGCCCATCCCTCCTGCCTCTAAAGCTGGGAAGAACGCACATGGCTGTAAGACTGTCAGTGTCTTAGTTGTACCCTGCTTCACAAAACTGTGACCTGTGGGCCCGACACCATGCTAAGACTCACGAGCTTGGGAGGGTCTCTAAAAGCACAGAATCTGCTGGGACACAGATTGTTCTCTGGGGATGAATACAAGCACTGATCCCACCTAAGACACTGTGGTGGTTCACGCCTGTCATCCCAAGCACTTTGGGAGGCCAAGGCAGGAGGATGTCCAGGAGTTGGCGACCAGCCTGGGCAACATGGTGAGACCTCATTTCTAAATTGTTTTTCTAGACAGTTTTCCTCAGAGGCCCAGGCTAAGAACCACTGTGCTAGCAGGCCACAAAGTGAGAAATCAAAACTCTGTAAAAATAAATCATCACCTCCCACCAAATCATCTCAACCTCCTGAATTCCAGGCAGATATCCAAGCAACATCACAGGTGGCTCTGAGTCCATCCGTCCCTCCCGGGCCTGGCACCATCGACCCCTCCTCTGAAGCCACTAGTAGTGGCACTCTCCTCCCTTCACGCTCGCGGTCACCATCCGGCTCAGCCTCTCATTCACTGTCCTGGGTGCCTGCTCCCTGTCTTCTGATTGGCTACCTGATCCTGCACAGCCCCCCCCCCCCCCCGTACTCTCCTGCAGATTCCTAAGGGAACCCGTCCCCTTATATCACCACCATGTGTACATGCTCCAGGCCGCTGAAAGCCCAAACTCTGTGGCTGGACCTGGGTTTGAATTCTGTCCCTACCACTTCCTCCAAGTGTGGGTAAGCCACCTACCTCAGTCTCCTCAACTGTAATTTGGAAATAGTGAGAATACCTATACACAGGCTTGCTGTGGTAATTCAATAGGAGAGTGTGGGAAAAACACTCAGAAATGGTGATGGCATACAGTAAGTGCCATGTAAATGTTAACTGCCACTAATATTAGTCTTTTAAGAGCTCCCCACTGGTTACCAAATCAAATTCCGCTCTGCTGATGGGCTCTTATGATCCTCTACCATCTGACCCAAATAGAACAAAGTAGCCCCAACTCAGGGATATAAGCCTTTCTCTGCCACCTGATCTCAAGTGGGTTTCACCCCACCCCCTGGGCTCCTTCCTCGGTACTGAGCCTTCTGGGCATTTCCCATTCACACACCTCTTCCAGTTGCTCTGCCTGGGATGTCCTCCCTCGCATCAGTGCCTGCCAAACCCCTACCGGCCCTGGGGACAAGCGCAAGCACTGATCCCACCTAAGACACCGCAGTGGCTCGCACCTGTAATCCCAGCACTTTGGGAGGCTGAGGTGGGAGGATTGCTTGAGCCCAGGAGTTTGAGATCAGCCTGGGCAACATAGTGAGACCCTGTCTCTGCAAAACATCAGAAAAGTAGCTGGGCGTGGTGGCACGTGCCTGTAGTACTAGCAACTCAGGAGGCTGAGGTAGAAGTATCGCCTAAGCCTAGGAATTCAAGGCTAGGGTAAGCCATGAGCGTGCCACTGCACTCCAGCCTGGGAGACAGAGTGAGACCCCAATTCAGATTTTAAAAAGACATTGCAAATATGAGTTCCACGATAGCACTGAAGATGTTAATGCACCTAGAAGTTTCTGCGGCTCTTCCTACCTGCCCCAGGCACACTTTCTGATCCACCTTAAAGAAATAACCATTCCTATTGGTAAAATGAGGCAGTCAGAACAAACTTACAAGGCCTCTTGAAAGGGTTCTTGGGGTCACATGGTCTTTCTTGCTCCTTTGGAAAACTCTTTCATTGGCAAGAAGAACCAGGCACACAGAGTAACCACACACATTTTTATTTCTGAAATAAATGGCTGCAATTGTCCTAGGTCTCAAGTTCCGAGCTATAAAAAAGTGGAAATTTACTAGATGATGTCCACAGTTTCTTCCTTTACAAATTGATGACCGCATGACTTGCAGTTTTTTTCC